ATTTGGGTAAATTTGAACTGTTTTCAAAACACTTTTTCACTTAAAAGCTCTAAAGATTAGAATTAAATGTTGGATAACTTATTGAATAGCTGTATTCGTCTTGAAACATTGATCAATTCATGCAGGTTTTTCTTTAGTGTGCAATCTCATATGTCGTTTCAATGAGCTTGCCTGAGAAAACAGCTTAAAGCAAATTTCGCACTTATAAGGTTTTTCTCCAGTGTGAATTCTCTGGTGCACAATTAAGGAATATGCATAAGTAAAACGCTTAAAACAAATTTCGCATTTGTTAGTACCTAATTCAGTGTGAATTTGCATATGTTGTTTTAAAATAAATGCCCGAGAAAACTGTTTAAAACAAATTTCACATTTGTATGGTTTTTCTCCTGCATGTAACATCTTATGTTCTTTTAAATAAAGTAACTGAGAAAACTGTTTAAAACAAATTTTACACTTGTAAGATGGTTCTCCATTGTGAATTTTCATATGTGTATTTAAATAATTTTTATGAGTAAACTGTTTAAAACAAATTTCACACTTGTAAGGTGTTTCTCCAGTGTGCAATCTCATATGTTGTTTCAAGTAACTTGCTTGAGAAAATTGTTTACAACAAATTTCACACTTGGTAGGTGTTTCTCCAATGTGAATTTTGATATGTGTATTTAAATAATTTTTATGAGTAAATTTCTTAAAACAAATTTCACACTTGTAAGGTTTTTCTCCAGTGTGCAATCTCATATGTTGCTTCAAATTACTTGCTTGAGAAAACTGCTTAAAACAAATTTCACACTTGTAAGGTGTTTCCCCAGTGTGCAATCTCATATGTTGCTTCAAATTATTTGCCTGAGAAAACTGGTTAAAACAAATTTTACACTTGTGAGGTTTTTCTCCAGTGTGAATTTTTATATGTATGTTTAAATAATTTTTATGAGTAAACTGCTTAAAACAAATTTCACATTTGTATGGTGTTTCTCCAGTATGCAATCTCATATGTTGTTTCAAACTATTTGCCTGAGAATATTGCTTAAAACAAATTTCACACTTGTAAGGTGCTTCTGCAGTATGCAATCTCAAATGTTGTCTCAAATTATTTGCCTGAGAAAACAGCTTAAAACAGATTTCACACTTAAGAGGTTTTTCTTCAGAGTGAATGCTCATATGTAGATTTAAATTCTTTTTTTTAGAAAACTGCTTACTACAAACTTCACATTTTAATGTTTTTTCTTCACTAATAGGTTGTTCTGTATTAAATATGTCTATGGTTTTCATAGTTTCTAATGTGTCTTTATCATGCGGAAAGCCTAAAACAAAAACCAAAATATATAAAAAAGTTTAAATGCATAAAATACAAATAGAAAATTTTAAAATCTATGTGAGTATTGGGAAGCTTACTTAATTTGGCATTTTAGATTATACACAAATTTTATATGAGATAAATAGATCACATGTTTCAAAACTTGACATAAATCCAATATTTTTAACTAATATGACTACAATGTTAACAGTATGATTCAGAGTAAATCCGCTCATCAGATTGCAAATTATACAGCTGGTTTTGTAACCCAGAGTCTCAACACGATAAAATCACTTTCAAAACACTTGCATCACAAGATATTATCAAAATCTGTAAAATAGATAAAACTATGTACAAGTTAATAAAAACTATCAAACTAACAAATAAATAAATCAGTAAATAATTTTAAACCACAAGTTTTGTTTATCAGGGACTGATGTCTTTATTAACTTAATCATAATCAGATATTGCACTAAATTTAGACCAGGTTATTGAAATTTATGGAAAAAATATATTCAAAAATTTATGATAACCCCATTTACATTTACTGTTTAGCCCAGGCTGTGTGGTAAACTTTATTCGTCATTTTTAAAAATAAATAATGATTTTAATTTAAGGAGAATATAAATACTTGAAAATATAGGTTTTTAAGTAATAAATGACGCCAGATTCGTTTCTTAATTGTTATTAATAAAGCCTCTGTGATTTAAAAAAAAAATGCTAACTCAGCTCCTATTGGTTGTAGAAAACTATTTTTTAAATCTTCGTCTCAAAGCCAGCTACAATAATCTGCAAATTAGAAATTTGTAGGGTACATAGGGGGCTTCAGCTCCAAATTTTTATAACTGCAATTTTACAATTTCATAAATAATTGTTTTTAATGGGTAAAAATTTATTTTTTAAATAATTTTCCAGTGGATTATGAAAATGTACGGCTTTAAGAAGAGAATGAAACAAGAATTAGCCCTCTACCATTTTTTTTGGCAATCCTATGAGCATTCAAAGTTGAAGGTCGTTTGATAAACTAATTAATGTATCTCAGTAACAAATTAAGTGATCTAGGCCTACTACGGCTCATTCGATTCGTAATTTTCTAGGCTTGAATGTCATACATTTGAAATAAATAAAAAAAAGCAATTTTGCAATAAATATTAAGTTTTTTAATTTTGACCTTCATTCGTCATTTTTGCAATAACAAATAAATTAAATTGAACGTATACCGGCTCAAATTGAAGATCTTTTAGAGTACTTTCATAATCTATACAGAAATTACCCATTACAACACTTACTTTGGTAAAAAAATGAAAAAAACTAAAAAAATACATATTTTGCACCTATAAACACTCATAAATAAACAATAACCAAAAATTTTTTGTTGAATGAACTGGGGGACTGCTCCTGAGGTTGCCCTTTATAATCTAGGTTACATTACATAAATTCCTGGATTAGAGAATACTTTTTTCCCCACAGCCTGGGCTAATTATTTACAGAATGTATCAAAGTTCAATGAGCTCCTCTTTTAAGAGTAACAGAAATCTCTGGGTAATGTAATGAAGCCGGTCGAGGTGTCAATACCACTTCTAACATCCAAAAACTGCTTCGAAAACACAATTGCACTTTGATTTTGTTGCAAAAACACTCGCATTCTATTTGTCAATTGGAGCATCTTTACATGTCTCTACAAATTCGATGATGTTAGACATGCGTTTAGTTCGCCCCTAGTAGTTAGTTGGGAAATAATTATTAAATAAGGAATAGTCTGAAAACAGAGTTGTGGATCCACCAAAAAATTTTTTTATCGTCACAAATATCTTTTAAAGATCTGTTTAGTCCCTGTAATGACCTCTAATGCCAATGTACATTCATCTCAAACGATTAAATTGCATATTTGTAACATCTTCACAATTGCTGTATGTTTGACAATGTTTCAGTTTTTTGTTTCATTAAGTTATATGCAGTGGCAGACTAAAGCGGGCGCTAGACAATATTGTAATTCCGGGCCTATTTTTCAGTTATAACACATACCTTGAATTTGGTAGTTTAGTTTTAAAGCATATAGTATATAGTTCCATTTAATTATCGGATTCCAAGAAAAAAATAATATACAGGTACGAAAATTAAAAAACATAGCTTATTAAAACAAACACTAATACTTAAAACAAAATATACCCAGATTGGTTAGTTATATTACCTTTTTTCTCACTTTTAATTCTACAAATCCGTCAATTATATATACAGCTCAACAGGCCCTAGACACCCATAGCTAAACCCATCAATTAGTTTGTCATAATTAACAGAGTTATTTAATAGCTCTCTCTATATAAAGTAATGATAAACTATTTAATTTGTGTTGGCCTAATGTGATCTTAAAGTTTTTTTATTCCGGCCAATACTGAGAGTGATCTTTCACTGCTTGCATTGCTTATTGGAAGGGTTAAATAAATGATTAGAATTGTGTTTAAAATTAGGAATGTTGCAATATTATTTTCCTAAATAAATTACTACAAGGATATAGGCTAAATGATATTTTCTTTGCTTATAAAATCTTGTTCATATAATTTTAATTTCTCTATAGAAGAGTGTCTAACATTACCCTCATGATAAATTGTTTTGAATTTATTGTTAATAGTTTTATATCCCTCAGATATTTATGTGATCAGTAAAGAATCACACCCAACCACAATAATAGCTTTGAAATGTTTTTTATATTTAATGTTTAATATTTTGTTAGTTTATGTTTCCCTAGGCCGCAACATTGAGATACTGTCTTATCTATAAAAGATACTAATTTATCTATAAAAGAAGTGAACAAAATTTGATTTTTTGATGCAACAAAGATCTGTGGCCAATTTTTCCACTTTAGTAATTCGATTGTTATCTGCCACAAGTGCATAAGTATGAGAACTTGAAACTGTACTTATTCCAATTTCTATGTCAGTGCTTACTCATTTCACTCACCAAGCTCACTTACCTCACTCACATACCACACACACTCACCTCACTCCTAAATGCCTATAACTCCATTAATTTTGCACCAATCACTCGGACATTTTAACTGGATACTCTTAAAGAGTTATACTTACTTATAGAATAAAAAAACACAAAAAAGTATACTACCCACTCAAACCCCTTCCATCCCACCGCCTTAAGGTAGATGACTTCTTGTTTAGCTACTTACCCTTTGTCTTTATTTGTTTTTCTTCATATTGTACAAGTTTATTTTCACCATATATTTCAGTCTTTATGAAGAATTCCTTTAGGTCTAAAAAATCAAATGTATCATGTGTACTTTCTCTAATGGGCTCCTCTTTAATTTCATTTTTAAACCTATCTAAAAAAGCATCATCCACCTTATTACAATATATCTCTAGTTTACAAGTATCTTCACTAAATTCTTGTTTTACTTCCATTTGATAAATCCAGGTTTTACGTATTTCAATAATAATTTTACAGTTCAAAATGCGAAACGAAAATAACGAAAAATGGATAAATAAACGTCAACGATAATATAAAAAAAAACTTGACAATGAAACAACTTGACAAAAAAAACTAAAAATTTTACTTGACAATGTTGACAATAAACATAATACATAATACCAACGAACATAGACGCATAAGCGATAAGCGTCTATCTTCATTGGTATTATTATTAGTTGACCATTAGTTGACACTGACAGTTGGATATTATTATTGAATGAATGAAAGAAATAAAACCTGGTTTCATCAAATGGAAATAAAACAAGAATTTACTGAAGATACTTGTAAACTAGAGATATATTCTAATAAGGTGGATGATACTTTTTTAGATAGGTTTAAAAGTGAAATTAAAGAGGAGCCCATTAAAGAAAGTACACATGATACATTTGATTATCTAGACCTAAAGGAATTCTCCATAAAAACTGAAATAGATGGTGAAAATAAACTTGTACAATGTGAAGAAAAACAAACAAAGAGTAAGTAGCCAAACAAGAAGTCATCTACCTCTCCTTAAAAGCTTAGTTTAACCTTATGTGTGCTATATGACTTCATTTTAAATATACTTACAATTTAAATCAGAACAATTACAGGACATGTAAAAGAGAAATTTATGTTCACTAATCTATTACCATTAACGGCCAAGCATTGAAATAATCAGATTTTTTCCAATTCAAGTTTATATACTTTATAAATAAAGGCATAATAACAATATTTCACCTAAAATTATAAACAATAATAATTGCAATATACAAAAAAATAATGTTTCGTTAACGAAACTTTGGCATAATATATGTAGTAAATTGAAAGTTATACGTTTTATAGTGTGTAAATGAAATTTCTTGGTTTTATCAATTAAAAACTAAAGATATTCCTACAATAGTTAATTATATAAGATAAAGTGATTACTTGGCAGTATGGTAGTATGGCACTAGCGTCATTATGGGATCTCATTTTTTATGGAAAGCACTAAAACAGTCAGCGTGCAAGTAAACCTTGCATTTTCCGCACATATAAACAGAGTTAGTTTTGCACAGTCTGCACCGTCGTTTACGTCCCTCCTCTTCGCGAACGATAGTATGACCATTCTGGTCCTATTCAATATCAGAAGGTAAACTTCCTTTAGAAGGACGACCCCATGCAGATGTGGATGGCGCTGGCTCTGGGTCTGATTAGGAGTCACCTTCTTCAGCAGCTGTTTTTACTGTAAATCTTTTTTCGTTCTGTATCAGTGACAAAACCAACGAAGAACGGAATTGCAATTGGGAGATTAAAGAGTCATTTGCAATGTTGTAAATTTTCCATGAATTTACAACTGTGCAATCCACAAGGTTCATAAACAAGGGCCACCACTACTTTTTACTTCCTACTCGGATCCTGTAATTTGATACCCAATTATCTAGGAGATCAACACCTCCCATATATCTGTTATATTCGTTAGTCATATTGGGCTGAGATATTGAATCTTCTTTTCGTAGCTTCCGATGATATCTTTTAACTGTAATAATTGGATGAACCGTTCCATTATTGCTGGCTACAGTCACAACGGAATTATCGATCCACCTTGCAGCTGATATTTCTGGCTTTTTGTCGAAAGCGTGATCAAACTCGCCCCTGTTCTTCTTTCCAAGCACTTTGCTAGTTTGTAGAGGACATCCTGGTAACCTATTCTCTCTCACAGTGTTAGTAAAGAAAATTGTTTTTTCACCTAGAATGTGGAATAGTGCATAACTAGAAAAGAAGTTGTCAAAGAAAACTATATGTTCTGAAGGGTTTTGATTACACGTAGCAGATCCAAAACTACTTGCGTTCCTAATCTGTATTGGGATTTCTGCCTTTCTAGATTTGCGCCACCATAAGGAATGGATTGGTATAAATATTCCTCTGAGCTACACAAGCACCAGATTTTGAAGCCAAAGCGTACTGGTTTACCCTACATAAACCTTTTTGCAGAATGTCGGCCGAAATAAGGAACCATTTGTTCATCTATAGACATATTATTGGCAAATAGTCCGAACTGCAAATATCATTCGTTCATCAGCAAAAATAATGGACGTATCTTGGCAAATTTATCATTATAGGTTATTATTATCGGAGACATGAAGACTTCTTTTTATGTTTCGGAAGGTGTTTCGACTCATGCACTTTCTCACGATCTCCACTCCTGTATCAAGGTTTTTTGACCAATACATATTACACGCCGGAAGTGTATGATAACCGGTTAGGATTAAAATACCAAAAAACTTCTGCAGTTGAGCTGAAGAGAGTTTGAAATTATGTCTGTTGTTGTCCCGGGCATATTTCAGGCTGAACTTGAGTATCTTCTGGAATACAATATCGTCAAAAAACAAAGAGAATATTTCAAATGGTGTTTTCCTAGTAAGTCTTAGCTTTATTTCTTCCATTTTATTAGATTGATTTTATTTTGGAGAAGAGGAATAATTTCTAACGATTTAGACATCTAGACCCTCTGGACATCTTGATTCACGGTAAAATACTGCAAAATTTTAAAAAATAGCTACTAACGAGTAGACTCACTGTTATTATACCAAAGAAAGTACTAAGCAGTTGGAAATAATAGCTAAGACTAAAAAATTTTGTATTATTAGTAGACTATCCAATGTGGATAATAAATTCACGGATCGCGCCAAAGTTTCATAAACGAAACATTATCTTTAAGGCGTTATAAAATTTTATGAGTAGTCAGATTTCAAATTATGTTTAGATAATATTATTGTACAATCCCTAATTGAACAAGGAATGCTGGTTTGGTCGAATTTTAAATATCTTGTGATTTATTATGCGAGCTCAAACGACACCGAGAGATACTAGTAAATTTGGAGTGTTTTGATTATTATTTCAAAAATTATACAACACATAATATGGACTATTGCAATAACAAACACGTCAATAAACTATTTATATGAAAGACCGATACATAAACTATAATATTCATCATATGAAAATCGTAGAAAAAAATAATTAAGGAAATGTTTCGTTTCCGATACTTTGGCCATTAACAGGTTAAGCGCCAAGCATTTTTCACCAAAATGTTCCCCTGGACCAAAGCAATATTTAACAAAATTTTAACATTTAATCCACATTCAAATCGAATCCGCACTATTTGAACCTTTTTTTGTTAACAGTTTAAAAAAAAAATAGAACGGTCACCGGTGTCCGCCGTGGCCCACCAGAGACGATCGGAACGAGCGGACACTATATTCATTCAGATGTCCGATGACGCGACGGCGCCAATTTATTATTGCTTGTCGGTACAAGTTAGTTTATTGTTTAGTTTTACAACGACTCGAAGGCGTTGCACATTGATATAAGGTATTTGTGTGAAAAGAGAAACTTTGATATAATAATAATGAGTAATCGATCTAAAAAAATTGTTCAGTTAGCTTTGGAGAGAGAAAACGACTATGACAGTAAGTTTTTTTACCTGAGGTTGAATTATGCTTTCAGTTTTATGGTGCTATTGCGTAAAAACAATACAGTGATGTAAGAAGAAATGTAAGAAAAGCACTTAGATGGCAAATGATATCGATATTATCGATACAGTATTTTTATTTCGTTGTATTTGTTTTATGGAATAGTACTAATTGCTTTTGATAGCTATTATAAAATACATACTTTTAGGTGATTACTCAAATGATCCATTTTATTACAATTCTGATGATGATACAGAATTTATTCCACCCATTAGTAGTGACAGTGATACATACGACAGCGATGACCTCGATTTTGATGATATGCCCAGCACATCTAATCATGGTGCAAGTAAACGTCGCAGACTTGAAGATAAGTGCATCGAAGATGAACCAGCACAAGAACCAAATTTTGAGCCACAGGATGTTGCAATTCCAAATTTTGAAGATCGTACCCCGGCGTCAGAAGAAGAAAGACCTGATATTGAGGATAACCCGGTTCTAGTTGTACAAGAACCTGAAAACAGAATAGCAACCAACTTGCGTGATTTGTCTGTTTCAGTTTGGGGTGACACCGTTGGAAATCATTTAAAATTTGACCAAACTTACAGAAGTGGTATAAATCCTGATTGGCAAGCTGCATTACAAGGTCTTAAGCCAATAGATTATTATTTAGCTCTTGTAGACACTAACATCCTGGATGATATGGCTGACCAAACAAATCTGTATGCAACTAATTTCGTTATGGAAAACCTGAATATTTCCAACAAAGCCCGTGTTCAATCGTGGGAGCCAACCACTAGAAAAGAAATTGCACAATTTCTAGGTTTACTGGGCTATATGGGAATAGTGCGGATGAATTCCATTCGCGATTATTGGTCAACGAAGTGGTTGTTCAAAAATAATGTTGCTTCTAATATTATGAGCCGTAACCGATTTGAGTTACTTCTGAAAATGTGGCACTTCTCAGATAACTCTAAGCGTCCAGAAGGAGACAGATTGTATAAAGTGCAACCACTTATAGACCAAATCATAAGCAACTATCAAAAAATATTTACACCAGGGAAAACATTTTGCATTGATGAAACCATGGTACCGTTTCAGGGACGTTTACTCTTCAAGCAGTATAATCCACAAAAGTGTCATAAATACGGCATTAAAATATTTAAATTATGCACTCAGAATGGTTATACGTGGAACCTAAGTGTATATGCAGGCAAAGAGAAGCAAGGTGAATTAGCAGCATCTACCAGTGTAGTGCTAAAATTGTCGCGAGATCTTTTAGGGTCTGGTAGAATCTGTGTAACTGATAATTGGTATACAAGCCTTCAATTAGCGCACATCCTTTTGGATAACAACACCCATTGTCTCGGAACTTTGCGAAACAATCGCAAGGGTAATCCAGCCGAAGTAATCAATAAAAAGCTTAAAAAAGGTGAAGTAATTGCCAGAGAAAATGAAAGAGGAATATGTGTCCTCAAGTGGCATGACAAAAAAGATGTTTTGGTTTTATCTACCTGCCACAACGCTGAAATGGTCCAACTTCAACGTCGAGGAAATAATATTCAAAAACCAAAAGCTGTAATTGATTACAATTCAGGTAAAAGCTCCATAGATTTATCCGATCAGATGTCGAGTTACAGTACGGCACTGCGAAGAACTATCCGTTGGTACAAGAAAATAGCTATAGAAATTTTGTTAGGTACTTCAATTGTTAATGCTCATTTCATCTACAAGGAGGCCGAACAGACCAACATATCCATCACTGATTTTCGGTACGCAGTTATTGAAGAATTGTTAAAATTTGAAGGCGGCCACTTTTATGAACGTACACGTCCTGCAAAAGTAAACCTCAATACTCACGTATTCACAAAATTAGACTGTAAGTCACGGGAAAATAGACGATACTGCAAGGGATGTTACAAGAGAAAACAGGATGGACTTATAGATAAAAACAAAGTGAAGAAAGTAACAACGTACTGTGCGCAGTGCGAAAATAATCCTAGGTTTTGTCTGGAATGTTTCAATTTATTTCACAACACTCATTAATTTTTTTGAAATAAATGTATGTACATACTTATAATAAATATGTATTTGTGTAGATTATTTGTTTAATAGATTTTTTATCAAATATAGGTATTCTTATTTCTGTAGTTAATTAAAGACATCAAGTTAGTTTTTACCCCAGATTTTTCTAATCGGAATTGCTACACACAACCTGGTTCAACATTTTATATTGCAGGGCCATAGCGGACACATTCCTATGTTAAAACAGCATAAAATCGTGTCCTCCCGGCCGGGTGAGAATGATGAAAAATTTAAAGTCAAGAGGACACCGGTGTCCGCCGTGGCCTAGACGGCCAATTTCAAATCGGACACCCGTGTCCGCCGTGGCGCTTAACCTGTTGTTAAGATGTATTTATATGTTATATGCATATGTAACATTCCTGAGCCATTTTATTCTATTCTGTCTCTAAAATAACCAACCCTGTTTAAACCTACAGTATTATCAAAGAATATAGACGCATATGCATCTATATTCTTTGGTATTAACCTAATGTATTAATTTTTCTTTGCTGTATTTCTTTGATCAGTATTGAACAAAGAAGAAAAAATTTAACAATATAATAATTAAATACTTCATCTAAATAATAATTGAAAATATAAAATGTATAGAAAAACAGCTGTAGTTCTAGGAATGCTGTTTGATTCTATTAAAAACATGCAATCGTCTTGTTTTCATTACATTGTTACAAATTTAATTTTCTAATGCATCTCAAATTTTCAATGCAGTATTCATTTGACCATCAAGTAAACATTGTATGGATAGCTAATGAATTAAGCCATAATTATGGTAATTATGGTGTATTAAAAACCGATTGTTATTACAATTTAAAAGTTTTTAATTGCAAAATTAAAATCCTATTGTAATGATGTATAAACCTAGTAAATGTCCAGGAATTTGTAAATGAGATTAGGGTGTCATTGAAGAAGATTGACATGAATGGAAAACCTTGAGATTATGAAAATGAGTAAACAGAAGTAGAAGAGACAATTAATTTAGAGAAGGATGGACAAGAGAATTGGGAAGAAATAAATTTTTGAAAAAATATGTAAATTAAGAGATAGAAGTGGTTAGGTATTTTTGATGAAATAGAAGAAGAGAATTATTATGAAGTAACTGTGGTAAATGTACTTTGCAGTGTCATCATAACTTATAAATGGATCATCTGTTGACAAAAAACCAAAAAGGTTGCAATGTTGCAAAATTATTCTATGTATTTGGTTTTCTCTTCATTTACCCTTAAACCAGTTTGCTTTGCCTCTACCTCGAATTTATTAAAAGTCTCCTTCACATTGGTGACTGTGTTTCCCACAATGTCATCTGCGTGTGCTAGTAGTAATTTTGGTCCATTTACTGTCAGTAATTCTGTTTTAAGTTGTGCTGCTCTTACTGCTTTCTCCAGGATGATATTAAAAAGGAGAGGTGACAGTGCATCTCCTTGTTTCAGACCACTGCTTATTTCGAAAGATTACAGCTATTCACACATAATTTTAACAAGCTGGATAAGTTTATTTGGAACTGAAAGTTCTGCCATTGCATTCCACATCTGATCCCTTTTAATGCTGTCGTACGCTTGCCAGAAATCTATGAAGAGATTATGGATAGTTCTATTGAATTCCCATCCTTTTTCAAGCAGCTGTCTTAGAGTAAAGATCTGATCTATGATCAGTCTATGTTTTCTGAAGCCGGCTTGGTATTCCCCCATGAAATTTTCTACAACCAGTGTCAGCCTACTTAATAGGATGTTCAATAAGATTGTATATGCTGTTGGTATTTTCTCTTCGTTCCATATAAGTGTTATTAGTTTGTGTATTTGTCTATATAGAGTTTCTCCGTACTTAAGGAATTCAGCCAATATATTGCCAGAGCCAGTTTTTCTGTTCTTCAAGTCCTCTACCGGTAGGTCCACCCCAAAATATGTATTTTCCCTATGTTCTTCCTTTTGATGTTTGTTTAGTAAAGTCTTGAAACATTCTTGCCATGTTTGGAGCAATTCTTTTTCATTTATTATTAATTCATCATTTTTTTCCGAGTACAGACATGCATCTAGGTCTGAAGCCTTTCTTTTCATTTGACACTGATTTGTAAAATGCTTGACTATTTGACTGTTACCTATTTATTTCTATTTCTTCATATTTTTGTTGTTCATACTTCCTTTTTTTCTCTCGATCCCGACAGTCCTTCCAGGCGGAGTTAAAACTGACCTGTTCCTGATGAAATGAGCTTAGTTTTATTTTTGTTCTTGACCAGTCTCATATCTCCTGCCACGTTGGAAAGTGCAGCACACATCTCCCTGGATTTAGATTTCGTCCATGTGACAAGATCCACTTACCTGTATATTCTTATATTTGGATACAATTTTATAAAAATGTACCTCGAACTGACGTCATGCTATAAGGAATATGTAGTATGGAATTGAGGAGTAAGGTTAATAATGTCCAGATAGAACTTCTGATGTTGCAACAATGATGGTGATTTGATGATTGATGTTAAAGATGTTATATTATGTCATTTGATAGCTGTGATTGACTTATCATGTATTTTACTGATTTCTAAAGACTTTCTTTAAACAAAGGTGCGACATATGCATCTATAAGACAGAAATACAGGTGCCTAAAACATATTTATTGGGTAGAAATTTTCTGTCTGCAAAATCATTTTATTATGCTTTACCTACTTTATTTATACTTTTGTGAATTTATCTCTTGTAGTAAATGTTTATATTTGGTTTGTATTTTAGCTTTTACTCAGGAGGAGAACAAAGTGGAAATAATGGAAACGTTGTTTAAACATTCAATCCACAAAAGACACTATATGAGTCGGCAAGCTGAAGGGAAAACCGTAAATAAAAATATAAAAGTTCGGACTAGACATGGGCCTTACAAATGTGGAATTTGTTTCAAACAGTTTCTTTGGAAATGTACTTTAAAAATACATTTGATGACACACACTGGAGAAAAACCTCACAAGTGTGAAATTTGTTTTAAACTGTTTACTCTTCAAACTAATCTGAAAAGACATTTGATGGTACACACTGGAGAAAAACAATACAAGTGTGCAATTTGTTGTAAACAATTTTGCGAAGCAGATTCTTTAAAAAGACATTTGAGAGTGCACACTGGAGAAAAACCTTACAGGTGTGAAATTTGTTTTAAACAGTTTTCTCTAACATGTACTTTGAAAAAACATTTGAGAGTGCACACTGGAGAAAAACCTCATACATGTGAAATTTGCTTAAAGAGGTTTATTGATATAGGGGATTTGAAAAAACATTCTTATAAGTGTGAGATTTGTTTTAAGCAATTTATTCATCCATGTAATTTGAAAACACATGTGAGAGTGCACACTGAAGAAACACCTTATAAGTGCGAAATTTGTTTTAAGAAATTTATTCAAGCAGGTAATTTGAAAATACATTTGAGAGTGCACACTGGAGAAAAACCTTACAAGTGTGAAATTTGTTTTAAGCAGTTTTCTCGAACAGATACTTTGAAAAAACATTTGAAAGTGCACACTGGAAAAAACTTTAAGTAAAAAACATTTAAAAAAGAATGTGTGAACCATCGATTCCTCTTGTTTTGAGTATAACAGTTTAATCCACGCTCTTTGTTCCCGTACATGAGCAAAAAATCCAAGGTTTGGCAGTGATGTGATAAAATTTTTTGAAATTCGATGCGCTTAAGTCTGTTCAAGAAAAAACTTGAAAACTATCTTAAAATAAATTTTTGTTAGCTGATGCATTGTTTTCCAATTTGATGTTTTATTTATTTAAATTTTTGTATGGACAATAATTGAAAAATAAAAACATGTTTAACTTGTATTTTATTGAAAATGCACAAAAATTCAACCTTTAATCCTGTCCAGTGAGTTAATAAAGAAATCTATTTTATATTCTCCAAAAAGAACACCTTTCCTCAAGTCCTGTAAAGTGACAATAATGAATAACAAGAAATTACAGTAGGCACCTTTATGTATAAGTAACTTAGTATTTTTATCTATATTTGGTACCATATGCAGTAACTAAATTTTTATTAGTTATTTTATGCAATTTATTTTTATAATTTTTTTTTATATTGAAAATTTTAATTACACAGGCCGACATTTTTGGTGTTTGTTTGACATGTGTCGTTAGCTAATACGGGTAAGCTGATTCTGAATTCAGTTTAAGCCCATCACATCCAAATTTTTCACAAAATTAAAAAATCCTTGTGAGATATTTTGTACTAGTGCAAACAAATTCCTTATTGATATTTCGTAAATTGTATTGAAATTATTTCTTTAAAATACTTGATAGATCCATAGAAAATATGTTACTACATTATGTTAATTTCATTTGAATGGCACCACTGCCCATCACCTCAAAATTTTCACAAAATTAAAAAAACCTTGTTCCTCTAACTTTTCTTCACACCATCTAACAGCAACCATCAAATGAAAATTCAGACGAAAAGACTCATGAAGACGAGAACTAGATGACTTAGTGAGAGACTTGGGCCTATCAAAGGATGCTGCATAAATCTTAAGATCACTACTGAAAGATAAAAATATATTGGATCCAGGTACCACATTTTTGTGGTATAGGCAATCTGAAAAATTTTTCTCAAAAGGGCTCACAGGTGTATTGTCATAATATTTATGAAGTAGTCATGAAACTGGGAGCTGACAATTACGATTCCACATTATGGCGGTTATTTAATCATCCTTCTAAGAGAGGTTTGAAGAGTGCCTTGTTGCACAATGGTAATACTTGTACCTCAATGCCTGTTGCTCACTCCATGAATCCAAGAAACATACGAGAATCTTGAGCTGTTGCTAAATAAAATAAAGTATAACAAATATTGTTGGCAACGCTGTGAAGATCTTAAAATAATATCCATGCTTTTGGGCCAACAGTCTAGATTCACAAAGTATCCATGTTTTTTATGAGAGTGGGACAATCAAGCACAAAATTTATGTTACGTTAAGAGTGGCACTTACAGAAAGACTAGTACCGGGACAAAATGTGCAACGTAATATACTAGTTGACCCAAAATAAGTTCTTTTGCCTCCTCTTCACATATAGTTAGGATTAATAAAGCAGTTTGTCAAAGCTTTAGATAAACAACTTGACTGCTTTAAATATCTGTACTACAAATTTCCTGCTCTTTCTGAAGCTAAACTTCAAGAAGGAATTTTTGTAGTCCCTCAAATTTGGACAGATTGTTACAGAATACAATGACCCAGGATGAATCTTGAGTATAAAGTTCTTTCGTAAACTCATAGGCGGTTTCTTTGGAATTAACAAGTCTCCAAACTATAAATAAATTGTAGAGAACATGGTCAAAAATTAAAAAAAACTGGGATGCAATGAGCGTCAACTTCATTTTTTGGATTCCTAGTCCCATATTGACTATTTTCGCGAAAATCTTGTCAGAAAGGTTCTATCGAGATATAAAGGAGATGAAGAGTCATTACCAAGTAAGATGGGATATAAGAATGATGGCTGATTACTGCTGGCCCTTGGAGAGAGAATTAATCACAAAAATCCATAAAAAGAAGACCACAAAATGCAGTTTTCATGGAAAAAGAAATCAGTTTTATTAGCTGCTCACTGTAAGGAGACTTAGGTGGCAAATAAAAGTATCTAAAACAGACAGGTACATCACAATGGCAATAGACCATGATGACATATGATTGAAGTAGTAAAACAAGAAAGTGCCAAACCTCAACAAAACAATTGGAACATAGTTGGATAACTGTATTGAAAGAAATATGTATATGTAACTAAGCACAATTAAAAAACTAGAGTAAATGACAGTAACAGTGAACAGAATAATGTATTTATGCCCTTAAGGTTATGTTTAAAATTAAAAATAGGAAAAATTTCAATTATTTCTTTTATTAACGGAAAATCAGTACAGTTGTTGATGACAATTGGTCATAGTACTCTACACAGCCAGACTATTCCAGTAGCCTTTCAAATGCTAGTAATACTCTGTATAAAAAGAACAAATAAATTATATACAAAAATAAGGAATGAGAGAAACTTGTCATTTGAACATATTACAACACATGCTCTTTAAACAATTGCATTTAATCTACTTCTTCCATACGGGAAGCATCTTCTCCATCACCAGCCTCAGCAGCAGGAGCTTCACCAGATGGGGTTTCTTCAGTAAGCATAGATTCTTCTTCATCAATGCCCAAACCAAGTTTGATCATTCTGTAGATTCTAGATGCATGTACTTGAGGTTCATCCAAAGTAAAACCAGAGCTAAGGAGGGCAGTCTCGAAGAGCAAGATGACAAGATCTTTCACAGCCTTATCATTTTTATCAACTTCTGTCTTCTGTCTAAGGTTTTCAATGATGGAATGGTCAGGGTTGATTTCTAAGTGTTTCTTGGCTGCCATGTAACCCATAGTTGATGTATCACGGAGAGCTTGGGCTTTCATGATACGTTCCATATTAGCAGTCCATCCATATTGTGAGGTTACAATACAGCATGGAGATTCTACTAAACGGTTAGATACCACAACCTAAAACAAATAATATATTGTATTATTTCTTTCTTAAAACCATAATAGTTGTGTAATAAATAAAGATTTAAATGAATAGATTAATTAAAAGCTATAAAACTACGAAAGATTTGAAAGAATTAATTGAGAAGTAATGTGGAGAAGGTACACTGCAAGATTATGAACAGATAAATTGAACTAAACCTTTAAAATGTCAGTTTATGTTAAACGGTTAAAAAAACTAAAGAACACTACATTATGTAAGAATACTTTTGAAGGACACATGAATGAACTAATTAATAGAGCTTAGGTAAAAACTATGAGCCCATAAAGTAAAGAGAATCAGTAGATCCCTATAGATGAGACGAAAAAGTAAAGATGTACGGTTAAGGTAAAATATGTACAAAAATGACCATAATTATTAAAAAAATACAATATTATCTACATACTATGCTCAATTTAATCCATCTTTTGTAGAATAAACCTAAAGGAAATTACTATCGTCGTTGAGAATAAGCCAAAAGTTTAAAATAAGTTCTCGAAATACAAAACAAATTTAAAACCAATTTTTTGTATTTTGAGAATGTCTAAAGTGGAAATTGACATCAAAAATAAATTTATTTTAAACTTAATTGTGGCTTATTCCCAACAAAAATAGTAATTGCATTAAAGTGCCACGCAAAAATAGCTTCAGAACAGTATTAATAAACACACCATTTCAGAAACATTTATTTTCACACCGAAGTGATTAAACCTTTTATATTTATATAAAAACTTACCTTTTCAACTTTGTTGTCGAGGATGCTCTTCATAACTTTGCAAAGACCTTCATATTTGGCCTTATCATCTTCACGTTTCTTCTTCTCTTCTTCATCTTCAGGTAATTCTAGACCCTCCTTGGTGACAGAGACAAGAGTTTTTCCATCATATTCCTTGAGTTGTTGAACTACATACTCATCAATGGGTTCAGTCATGTATACTACTTCAAAACCACGCTTCTTAACACGTTCAACAAATGCAGAATGTGCTACTTGTTCTTTGTTCTCTCCAGTAATAAAGTAGATGTGTTTTTGGTTTTCCTTCATTCTGCTGACATAGTCTTTTAATGAACAAGCTTCATCACCACTGGCAGATGTGTGGTAGCGCAATAAGTCAGCAAGTTTGGCTCTGTTTTGTGAATCTTCATGAATTCCCAATTTGATGTTCTTTGAGAATTGTTCATAGAACTTCTTCCATCCATCTTTGTCCTCGGTAAGCTCTTCAAAAAGTTCCAGACATTTTTTAACTAAATTTTTGCGGATGACCTTAAGAATCTTATTTTGTTGTAACATTTCTCTTGAAATGTTTAGAGGTAAATCTTCTGAGTCTACTACTCCCTTAATGAAGTTAAGATATTCTGGGATCAGGTCTTCACAGTTATCCATGATGAAAACTCTGCGTACATATAATTTGATGTTGTTCTTCTTCTTTTTATTTTCAAATAAATCAAAAGGTACACGACGAGGAACAAACAATAGAGCTCTGAATTCCAGTTGGCCCTCAACACTGAAATGTTTTACTGCTAAATGATCTTCCCAGTCATTTGTCAATGATTTGTAAAATTCACCATATTCTTCTTGGGTTATATCATCAGCATTTCTTGTCCATATTGGTTTGGTTTTATTTAGTTCCTCATCTTCAGTGTACTTTTCCTTAATAGTTTTTTTCTTTTTCTTTTTCTCATCTTTTTTATCTTCATCTTCATCCTCTCCCACATCTTCAATTTTAGGTTTATCTTTATCCTCCTCTTCTTCCTTCTTTTCATCTTCAGCTTCATCATCACTTAGTTCTTTTTCTCTTTCTTTTTCTACAAGCAACTTAATGGGGTAACCAATAAACTGAGAGTGTTTCTTTACTATCTCCTTAATTTTACTCTCTTCTAAAAATTCAGTTTGATCCTCCTTGATGTACAGAACAATTTTTGTACCACGTCCCAATGGCTCTCCAAGGTCTGGTCTTATTGTGAAGCTACCTCCAGCAGATGATTCCCAAATGTACTGCTCATCATCATTATTTTTTGATACAACCACTACTCGGTCAGCAACTAAGTAGGCTGAGTAGAAACCTACACCAAATTGACCTATCATACTAATATCAGCTCCAGCTTGGAGGGCCTCCATAAATGCCTTTGTTCCAGATTTTGCAATTGTACCTAGGTTGTTAACTAAATCTGCTTTCGTCATACCAATACCTGTATCAATGATAGTTAAGGTTCCTTCGCTTTTGTTTGGAACAATTTTAATGTGTAAATCTTTTCCGGAGTCAAGACAAGATGGGTTGGTGAGTGATTGGTAGCGGATCTTATCCAAGGCATCTGATGAGTTTGAAATCAACTCTCTAAGGAAGATTTCTTTATTCGAATAGAATGTGTTGATGATCAGACTCATCAGCTGGGCGATTTCAGCCTGGAAGGCGAAGGTCTCGACTTCTGCAGTTTGCGTTTCTTCAGGCATCTGGAAGAGAATATTTAATTTAGCTCTAATATGGTAAACACAATAAATTTAAGAAGCATTTATAGTCAATAAGTTATAGATTATAAGCCAACACAAATGAGCTGTTTAAAAGGATCAGTTCTTAAGCATATATGCTCCAAAGAGAGGACCAATTCTACTAGGAATCAGAAAGCACATGACACTGTCCAGAAATTTGGAACATATATAAGAGTGTTTGCTGTAATGGAATACAATGGAATGTTTTACCCAATATTCAAACAGGGCTCTTAATGAATAGATTTTAAAGAATTCCCTATAGAGGAACAACTCAATAGAGTTTTAAATACAGTAGATAAAAGTGAGATGTCTCCTGGTGACTTGTCCACCTTCCTAGAAATGGCAGGATGAACAATGAGCTAAGGGCGACAGCTCCCTGGGAGGATGCACAATGGGTCAATTGTGGCCTAAGTGCTGTGAAACTTAACTCGCCCTCCCTACTCTACAGATACAGTAGATAAAATATTTTCAGGTTATAAAGTCACTTAGAATGTATTGAATATTGTGGTTTTAGAGCCAATGGACTAGATTTTGTATACATATATTGAAGAATAAAAAAAAAAACGAAATCAATATCGACACATACTATCTTCAAATACTTTTTGATAACCCTAGCTCATACCGCTCAACTACTGTGACCAGCGACAACACAGCAAAAGAAAAGTAAAGTCCAAGGATAATTCTAGCACATTCTTTTTTTGGTCAAGTAGGCACAAAAAAGAATAAACTTAATAAAATAATAAACAATAAAAACCAATTCACAAAACCCTTATACTGACGGTGCCGGCATGAACTGGAAACATGGACAATTTCAAAGGAAGATAAAAACCTGCTCATATTTGAACAAAGGATCCTGTAAGGAATATTCAGTTGAATCTATGGCAAAATGGTATTTGAAGGAGTTACAACTATGAGATACCAAACTACAAACAAAATTATCTTTCGTAAAATACGAACACATTGGCAGAAGATCTAGTAAGATCACATTACCCTTCTAGAGGAATTCTGGTGGAAAGGAGAGATTGAGAGAAGTAGACGGACAGGTAGGCCAACACTGAAATTGAAGGATGGTGTAAGATGGTATAAAAATAGGTGTATCGAACTTGCAACGTTTTGCAATGGATAAAAGACTAGATAGAAGTAAGATTAATAAAATTATACTCCAAATTATATATTGATAAGTATGCCACAAACACTATTTTAACAAAAATAACATGTAACTGATCTAAAAATAAAATGCATAGCCATGAGGTTTAATGCAATAGTCTCCACGTGTTTAGATATCAGGAAATGGGATATTTTACTAGTTTGGTTTCTAAATATACATATAATTCATATTTAAATAAACAAATGGATTTTAAATTACAAATTAACAAAAAGTTAAGTTTATGTTCATCAAAATGAGTTTCAGAACTTTTTCCAGATAAAGAATTTGGCGGCCGGTATCTGCTTCTAACGTTTTTAAATGAACAATAATGAAATTATTGGAATAAATGATAAATTACTTACTTTGGACTAGTTTTTCACAAAATATTCACAAGTCACAATGTATAAACCGCTTTGAAATAATTATCTGCTTTGGAAAATCACTTCCGCAAGTGACGTTCGCTGTCTCAACGTAAAGCTAACTTTGAATTGAAGCGGATGCGGCATTGTCGGCCGCTTTTATAGCCTACTTGATTCCAGAATATTCGAGAACGTTTGGAAGCTTTTCGAAGGCTTGAAACGGTCAATAAGTTGAGACAGAGATATATTTTATCTTGGTTTATTTCCGTTTTCTAGAGCGGCAATTTCAACTGAATATTCTGGAAGGTTGTATTTTTACAAGAATTCTCTAGAACCATAAAATTTTGTAGGAATGTTTTTATTAGAATTTTGATAAATTGTTTAATGATTTGTATTTCTGATGTCCTAAAATCAATACTTTGTTAGAAAAGTTGGTTTTTATTCAATTTTCCTTTTTTGAAATACAAATTTTGAAGTCAAATCTTAACTAACATTTTAAGTATTTCGTATGTACCATAAATATAACTAAAAATATATAAAGTTAGACGTAAATATATATGTTTTTAAAAGCTATAGGTGCTGTTTTCCTTAATTCAAATTGGTTTTATAATATACAAATCCATAGATGTCCATAGCTTTTAACCACAGCTATTGCTGTAAATTAAATAAATAATGAGCACGTAAATATTAAAAAGCTTTAATTTATGTTGATAAAGTTATTGGTTTAAAGTTATTTCAAAGGTAGATCATTTGGTTTAAAGTTATTACTATAATAGATAGCACAAATTTTAAAACATTATAATATGCCAGTTGTTGAAGACCATGACCATTTATTAGATTGATTTTCTTTATATTATATAAAAGAAACATTTTAGAATGTTTGGCAGTTTATTTTAAACATCTAAGAATAATTAGAACAGTTAAATCAATAATATTTCTACAAAGAAAGGGTGAAGGGCGAGCATTTATTTTTCTTAATTCTGTGCTGACTATATAATTTTTGATTAGGGCATTAGGAATAATAAAAAAAAACAATATTTTATTTTATAATAAAAAACTGAGGTTTACTTAATACAAGAACTTTAAATACATAAATTCATTTTTCTCGAAAATTCAATCAATACAAAAAGCATGTTTATGATTCATTGCAGATGACATCAGAATTTTAATGTCAAAAAGTACATAATAATGTGAGGTTAGATTAAGTCCACCGTCTAAAAAATAGTAAATAATATAAATAATAACAACAAATCATATAAATGAAAAATACAAAATGAGTGCAGCAATAAATGATGGTAAAACCTCTTCAGCAAAAGCGACAGAAAGTAAGAACACACTGTTAAAAAATATGTGAATATTAACACCATTGTTTTTTAGATGAGGAAGACAGTGATTATAGGATATATAGCGTTATTTCATATTTCATAGTATTAGTTGTAATAGGTCTACCGATATGGTGGTACACAACAAGAGTCTACAGAGCATCACTTCCAGAAACAAGAATGCAAGAAGTTGAAATAAAAAATTACACAGAAAAAGAATATGGAATGCCTTTGAGTCTAGAATATGACATACTCATATCCTTTGTCCATCCAGATCCTTTAAATCCCCAGGTAGAATTGAAAGGTGCAGATATTGAACAGTACCTCAACCCTTACTTGGAAAAAATTTCTCCAATTGCAGAGTTCATTATCAAGTCACAATGGTTATACCTTATAGACTTAGGAGTCACTCCAGTAAAACTGAATAATCATTTTGTATTAAAGGAAGATCAATTACCACATATTATTACACCATTGGAGAGTAAATTATGGTCTCATATGTCTCCTAGACCAACTATAAATCTAGTTGTATATTTTGCCCCTTGTGATGATCATCCATTGTATATATATGATAAACACAATAAAAAAGTAGAGACAAATGCCTTTCTAAGCCCTAGATGGGGTGGCCTGCTGGTAGTAAATTCAGATAAAGCATCATGTGAGAAAGGAATTTTGAAACCGAATTTAAATTCAATTACATCTGTATTTGTCACACAATTGCAGAAATTGTTTAAAGTGGACGATATGTCAGGTAAATTTATATGTGATATGATCATGATTTTTTTTAACAATCTTTCACCTTCTGTTCTTTTCTGTTACTTTTGGCACATAATACATTATTTCTGTATCTAGCTTATAGTACTTTTTTTTTCCTGAAATTATATCGTTTACTTTATCGATGTCACACATGCTGCTGGTGGTATAGTAGTCTCATATTGTCACATTTTTTTACGTCACATTTTACTCTATATTGTTGATACTATTTACTTACTTACTTACTCCGTGGCGTTACAACCCTTCGTGGGTTTTAGCCGACTCGACAACATGCCTCCACTGTTTTCTGTCTTGAGCAACCTCCATCCAATTTTCCACACCCATAGTGCTTAGGTCTCCTGCTATATTATCTCGCCACCGGAGACGAGGGCGTCCGCGTGGTCTCCTTCCAGTTGGGACTTCCTGCCACACCAGTCTTACTGTTCGTTTCGTCAGAATGTCTTCTGAGGTGTCCTGCCCATTGGAGTCTTCTGGACTTTATTTCTTTTATGATGTTGGCGTCTGGGTAAAGTTCTTCAAGCTCTTTATTAGTTCTTATCCTATATTGTCCTGATGTTTCATCAAGCACCGGACCAAAGATCTTCCTTAGGATTTTTCTTTCCCAAACACGTAGTCTCTCTTCATTTGCCTTTGTCATCGTCCACGTTTCGCTTCCATACATCACAACGGGTCGTATGATTGTTTTATAGACCTGTATCTTCGTACGTCGTGTTAGTTGTTTTGATTTTATAAGGTTTTGGAGGGCAAAAATACATCTGTTGCCGGCCTGAATCCTGTTGTTTATTTCTTGTGATCCGTTATTGTCTTCAGTTATTGTTGTTCCAAGATACTTGAATTCCCTAACGTGCTCAAAGTTAAAGTCATCGATGGTAATGTTCTGACCGATTCTGTCTCTGCTTTGGTTATTGCGGCTCATATACATATATTTCGTCTTGTTTTCGTTGATTTGGAGCCCCATCTTCTCTGCTTCCTTCTCAAACCTTACGAAAGTCTCCTTCATCCTTAATCGCGTGTTTCCTATTAGATCTATAGTTGATACTATTCTTATAATGAAAATTATAGTTCAATAAACAAATTTGATATTAAAATTTTTAAATTAATATATTTTAAATTATTCTAATAATTAAAACAACTGTAATTTTACACTAGTAAAATTTAAATTTTTCTTCATTTTTTTATCTTAACAAAAATAAAATAATTCAAAACTGGCCTGATGGAAATTTCTTTTGGGCTTCTCTATTTTATTTTATTCAACTTATCAACAAGGTGGTTGAATAAGGTGGTCCTTCCTTGTTTCGTTTTCTGCCTTCCTGCCATACTCGCTGTGCCCATTCATTTATACCCTGTACATTTTGTTCTGATCTTGTCACTCCTTATTCAGTCTCTCGACATGTTTTCTGTAATTCTCTGTTGTGTCAGGTCTTGTTTCTAATACGTATGACATTATTGGTCATATACTGGCCTTTTTTATTTATTTTTACGCACAACAGGCTGTTAAGGCCTATGGCATTTTTTAAAAACATAAGCCTAATATTAACTAATTACAATTATTTAAACAAAACTTTAACTTAAATATGTATATACAACATTTTTAACTACTCTGAAAGACCTGGTAGACAATATTTCTCCATTCACTTCTATTTTGTGCATTTCTTTTCCAATCCCTCGCCTTCACGTGTCTAAGGTCTTCCTCCACTTTACTAATCCACTTCGTTCTGGGTCGATTCTTTGTGACTTGACGAACTTGGTAATGGTAGGACCTTATTGTCTTATTTTTACATTATTTAATGTCCATGTCTCACCGGCATATGTTACTGTGGGTCGAATTACTGTTTTATATATTCTGAGTTTACCTTATCTAGAAACATATTTTGAGTTCAATAGGGCTCCTAAACTACCTAATTTGTTATTCCCTTTTGCTATTCTGGCTTCGAAAAACTCCACCCAGGTATTCAAATTTGTCCACCCTTTTAAAACTATAGCTTTTACCACTTACAGATCTCACACTAAAGTCTTCTTTTTTCCCTTCTGTCCCCCCATGATCATATATTTGGTTTTGTCTTCATTTAGTTCCAATCCGAATTTCTGTGCTTCTTCAATGATTTTCTTCACAACTCTTCTTAATTCTTTCTCGGTTTTTGCTAGGATCGTTAGATCGTCAGCAAATGCCAAGCACTGGTGCTAATTTTTCATGATCGTTTTTTCCACCTTCATGGTGCATTTTCTGATTACAGTTTCTAACACTAAGTTGAATAATGTAGTGGATAAAGGATCTCCCTGTTTCAAGCCTTTTGCAACCGTAAATTGATCTGATATGTGACCCTGCCAAGCAATTTCATACGTAGAGTTATTTAGTGTCATTTTAACTAGCCAGATTAGTTTCTTTGGTATACACAAATGTTTCATTGCTCGATATATTTTGACTCTATCGACTCTATCATATGCTTGTCTAAAATCCACAAACAAATACTTGCCTTACAGATTTTTAATTTCATCACACAGTTAATGTGTTGTTGGGTCATCAAAATTTCATCTTGTGTGTACCAGAGAATTTTAATTTCATTGTTCTCCAATCTATATCCTCTTCCGTTATGAACGCTCTTTATGACTTCATCCATGGTTAGATTGAATAGCATAGGGCTTAGTGAATACTCCTATCTGATTCTATTGCATGCATCTATAGGTTCCATAAGTTGTTCATCTGTTCTGATTTCATCTTATTGTTTTGCTAGACGTTTTCATTTGTTTTTATAATATCCAGCGCGATCTCTTTATTATACAAGAGATGTATTACCTACATCTCAAGTCTTACACTGCCAAATGCCTTCTTCAAGTCGATCAAACATGAGAGTGTGGGTCTATATGGATGCTTTCTGTGTAATCTATTTTATGAATGAATATTGCATGTGTACACAGTCTTCCTGTATGGAAACCTTGTTGTTCATCTTCTAAATTTATGAGCTCTTGCATAATTTTACTTGTAAGTTTCAGGGTAGTATTTAGAAAATTTTTACCTGTATAGCACCTACAGAGTT